AGAAATAATTATATATTTCGCAAAACGGGGAGGCAATAATAATAGTCTAGATACTTTTCGTAAATGCTGGAATAAATACCAGGCGTTTTGCTACTGTTAGACGACTATTTGCGTAAGCTAACCATGTCCATGCATCATTTCAGCTTGTATCAGAAACAGCGTTCTAACTCGAATCAAGCGGTTTGGTCTTGCATATTTGATATTCTCTGTACCAGTGATACTACCCTGGTGAATGCTGCTTGTGGCGGCCAAGCGTTACATCACCGTAAAATTACGACTAGCCGAAGTAATTTAATCGTCGTGAATGTTTCCCGAACAGTTGCACTGAGCGCTTAAATCCTTCTAGTGATCGCAGTGCGACTCGTACAGGATGATCACGTTTTATACTGTTAGAACAAAGCATCCAAACGAATACAGGACTGCAGTAAGTGTATGCAGTAATAAAGCTTTAAGGAACGCATTTGAAGCTCAATTTGTACAGAACCAATTGACAAGAACCTTTTGCTGGTACTTTGAGTAAAACAAATATTCTCTATATATATCAGAGGCTGATTACTGACGCACATTACTGCAAAATCAACGAGGAAGCAGCCGTCCTGTACACAATTTTAGATCCAGAGCTTCACCGTGTAAAACACGGTTTTGTATCATTATTATTGTACAGTAACATATTTTACGGGGAGCGTGGGGTTTAAAAAAAAACTCTCTATAATTAGTTTATTTTATTATTTTTTCTCTAGATCTTCAACATTACAACAGAAGAAACAGAAGCAACAATCGTAAAAAAAATTCCGATAGTAAATGTACATCCAGCTTTGGTTCCTTTGTAAGTCTCGAGCGTAAATTCATATTTGGAATGTCTGAATTTTAACGTAAGCTATGAACGCTAGAACAGAGGCTGCGTTGCTCTGGTTTACGCCTTGTTGAGCCTAGTTCAATCACTGCCACTTCCATCATGGTGAGACTTTCGACTAGAACAAATCGGCGACTTCTCTACTGAAGAGCTACGATAGCGGATGACAAGCAATAGGATTCTTTACAGATAGCTCATGAACCTGCTCGCCCACTACGGTCCGTTCGATCACAACTGGATTTTCTTCCCACAGAGCAAGTCAAGTACCAACCAACCAGCGACCAAGTCAACGACACAGCAACGCAGCCATGAAGTTCCACGCTTTTCTCGTCGCCATGATGGCTGTCGTCGGTGCTGTCGCCGCTGCGGACCAGCCTTTGGTCAAGTCGGCGGCCGAAGCTCTCGAACAAGCTCAAGCGTCCGCGTTACCCGATGGCGTCGCGCTCACGGGTGAAACGGAGAAGATCGAGCCTCCTGCCAATGCCGCTGCAACGATCACAAAAGAAGACCACGGTGACAAGGATGACAGCGACAATGGCAAGGACAAGGACGACGATAAGGAGAACTTCGGATGGGGTTTCGGTGGAGGCCTCGGTGGAGGTTTCGGCGGGTGGGGACTCGGTGGATGGGGAGGCTGGGGCGGTTGGGGTGGCTTCGGGTCCTACCGCTTCGGATTCAGGTGCGGCGGTGTCCCCGGCTGGGCCTATCCGCTGGGCTACTGGAACACGTTTGGCGCAGGTCTGTATGGCGGCGGGTGTGGTCTGGGCATGCCTTTCGGTGGTCTTTACTACTGCTAAGTTTGCGAGTGGAGAGGCAGTAATAGATTGCCACGAAGCTTCGCTACTTCCCTGACCATAAAGGGGGTAGTGTTGTAGGCTGCTTCATAAAAAAAAGGGTTTCTATGCTCACGTCTTTGAATCAAATACTGAGGTATTTGAAATCTTTCTAAAACCTCAATTTTCTTGAAATTATTCGTTTACCAGACATCGATAGTTTCAGTTCTAGAAACGGCAATCCCTACCTATCGTCAACAATGACGAGCGCAACAGAGGTCGGAAAATACAATACTGTATTGTATTGATGGCAAATTTTGGCCGCAATAAAAATTTCAATATGAGCACTCCCAATAATAAAAATTGCCGCAATTTAAATATATTGGAGCAATATCTAGCTATGTCTTGCCCTTCCGTGTACTCTTGCACCAGCCATGATCCCCGTGAGTATGCTGGCCCGGTAGTCGACTGGCCAAGCCACGCCAAGCTCGTCATCATTAATAGTCGCTATCATGTTCTGTGGTAGGTCTGACGACGGCTGCCAGGTTAGTTCTCGAAACCCCAAGAAACTAAAAAGTAGTCTTGCCCGTCTTGACTAGTTTTCTTAGCGTATATACTATCAGCAACATATAAGGCGGGGCCATCATCGAATTTTGAAGTTTCATCTTCTGAGTCCGTGTTATTCTGGAGAGCCTCCATGTTTCATCTTCTACTGTCGTTTGACGTTAGCAAGTGCGAGGAGTTGCTTGTTTCGTTTGCTTTTACGTAGCCGGGAAGTCTGGAAATGTAGCTGCTGCTTCACAAGTGCACTATACCAGGCAGCGGCTGAACCTACAATTCTTATCTAGAGGACGACACAACACTTAATGATATGTGGTGATTATTCTCGACAAGATAGCGAGTCAAGAATAGTTTTTTTGACTGAGCATCTTGTTAGAATATTTGTTTCTAAGTAATTCATCGGAATGATGTAGCAACTAATAATTTGTGCTATTAGTTGAGATTAGAGTACCCTGTCCCTCCAGTTTGTTTCCGCTCGTTGCCGCAAATATTGCAGCGAAACAGCCCTTGACCTAGTATTGTATAGAAGTAGGCGGCGATTTGCTTGTTTAGGACCATCGTAGTTCAAAAATGAAGTGAAGTTTGAGTTGTGGCTCGCGTATCGTAGCTTACCAAGACACTCTCGTAGCCACCGGTTTCAGGTTGGTGTGGAGATAGTGTAATGAACAGCGAAAATGATGTCATAAGATCTGATTGGTGATGTCATATCGAAACAATTAAACGGTTCCTACCAGGGAGCCTTTTGCCATATTTATTGTCAATAATTGGTCCAATACCATATTGTATTGATAAGCTCAACTACCAATAATACATATTTATATTGCAAAACCCAATAATTTATTGAATCGCAATTATTATTTCCGACCTCTGGAGCGCAATATCACAACGAATCTGCGCGTGGTACAGATACCGTCCGCTAATTCTAAGCGAGGAGCACTGGTTTTCTAGAAAAAAATGTAGCTGCATTCTGTCAGTGAGTACTTAGAAATCATTATGCGAGCGTATAATTTGTCGACTGACACACCAAGTCTTAGAAGATAACATCTAAGGATATTATCCTGTGGCTAGATTACATCCCTGTAGTGCACGTTGGATGTAATGATAGCATCAGTGCAGGACTTATTATGAAGGCCGATAAACTAGTTGCGGAGGCTGGGGCGGTTGGGGTGGCTTTGGGCCCTACCGCTTCAGATTCAAGTGCGGCGGTGTCCCCAGATGGTCCTATCCGTTGGGCTACTGGAACACGTTTGGCGCAGGTCTGTATAGCGGCGGGTGCGGTCTGGGCATGCCTTTCGGTGGTCTCTACTACTGCTAAGTTTGCGAGTGGTGGGGCAGTAGTAGATTGCCACGAATTCCCTGTCCATAAAAAGGGGGTAGTGTTGTAGGCTGCTTAAAGAAAAGGCTTTCTATGCTCACGTCTTTGAACGTCGCTCTACAACTTTATACACCGCCCGGTTCCAAAATGACGATCTGGTAAAAGCTCGAACTTATTAAAACGTCGACCGAAGCCAGACACTTTTTCAAATGAACTTCGAAACTTCAATGTTCTAGTTTTAACACTTCTATTTTCTTCTAGAACGGTTAGATTTATGTTGGCCACACCGCCCTAACCGATCAGCTGTCCCATTTCTGTGGACCACACCAATCGAGTACCATCCATTCCCACGACAGCCGCAGAAGACACTGCAGCACGTCACCTCCCTCTCCCCGTGAGCAGTTCGTTCAATAGACGCCGACGCAGACAGAAATGAGCAGCTGGAACTCAGACGACCGGTGGCAGGACTCAAGCTCGTCTACGACTGGGTCGAGCTACGACTCGTCGGCGACGAGCGGCCTCGAGTTCCCCGTTCTCCCCACGATCCCGTCGGGCAGCATCGACATCGGCTCCATCGCGCCGGTCTTCGGTGTGGCCGCATACGACGATGACGCCGACTATTTGGACTACGACAAGACTGGTCGCCCGTTCATGGAGCAGATGAGCGGGTCGTGCGGTACCGCCTACTTCTCGGGTATCATCGGCGGCGGTGCCTACGGAGCGCTGAAGGGCTTCTCGCGTTCGCCCAGCACCAAGTTTAAAATCAGGATGAACTCGCTTATGAATGGCGCTGCCACACGCGGCTCCAAGGCTGGTAACGCGCTCGGCTGTTTGGGTAAGTTCGTGCGGGTTTTGTTGAATTTTCAAGCTTTTTAATTGACATTTCTGTGCCTGTGCTGAAGCTATGGTCTACAAGGCGTTCGAGTACGTGGCGGACTCGGCTGAGATTGAGAACATTGTCAAGTTTGACCAGGTGACGCCGATCCTGGCGTCGGCAGCTACTGGTGTGTTCTACAAGTCGACTGCCGGTCCCAAGGCTATGGTGCTGGCTGGCGCGCTGGGTGCTGGGCTCATGACGGTGGTGCAGTTCGGCATCAAGCCTTTCTACCCGCGACTATAGACGACCATTTCGGTTTCCTGCTGCAGCTCTCTTTTTGATCGCGGAGTAGAAGATCGACGACGTCGTCTAGAACGTGATTCTGCTCCCTGGCAGTGCCAATATCGGCACGGAGGAAGATGTATTATCTATGCAGAAGATAGAGAACAGGTCGAAGTCGAGCCATGTGTAGCAGAGCTTGAAGGACGCGGTGCATTTGTAAGTTAGTACAGCAGATTTTTTCATCTCATTTTCGACAATTTTTTTAAGGATTTCATTTTTCTTAATGATAAGAGAGGGTAAAGCTTAGCGAAAAGCATTTGTTTTTCATAAGACAATCCTGTCATACAGCCTACTGAGCTTCCCGCGCTTTTTCTCTCCTATTGGTTCAAATTCAAATCGATGATGGCGTCGTACGCGCTGGAGCTGCATGCGCTCAAGGCGGAGCTGCAGAGCACTCTGGCGCGTTTAGGCGTGGACCCAATCAGCTCTGACGACGACGCAGCCCAGAACACCGCTCCAGCCATCTCAGAACCCGCAAGACGACGCTCTCGACGTCGCCCTACGCGATGGAACCGACGTCGACTGACACAGGAGCTGGCTGCAGCTTCTCAGAGGCGACAGGAGTTCGAGAGGCAGTTGCAGCAGGAGATACAGAGGCGGGAGGAAGATGGACATCAACAGGACCAAAATGAATCGCACAGAACAGCGTGGCAGGCTGCGATCACGGAGCTCCAGCAGCAACGAGCGGAGATCAGGCGGCAGATGGAGCAGGACACCACCACGAATACAGTACAGACTGAAGAAGCTCAGCCGATACAGAATCAGGTGTCTAGTTTTCCTATAGGGAACAGCGAGGAGAATCAGTTTTCTATCGGTGGAGTGGTGACTTTGGAGCCGTTGTCTTCATCACAACGGGGCCAAGTGGCGACGTTCACAAGTTCGAGGAGTGGCGTGTCGTTCCAACCTGTCGCTCCCGTCTCTGCTTCTGCGTGTGGACCTCTGTCAGTGTTGGATACTTTTCCGAGGTATCGCCCGACACCTGATGCGCTGACCGACGTGTTCTCGCTGCAACTCAAGTTCGCTGAGACGATGCTGAAGCTCGAGAAATCCGTACAAACGCGCGACCAATTACTGCATTATGGAGCTTCGACTCAACGGACTGCAACACGCTCTAGAGAGCAGCATGACCGGACTCGTCGTCGTCAACGCAGACGATCTGAAAGTGGCTCCACCGGCGACCCCAGTGTCGTGTACCGAGCAAGCCACAGCGAGTCGTTCAGCTCAAGCGCGCACTCCTTCTCGTCGCTGGATTCAACGCCACATCGTCCGAGTGTCCGAGTGCGCTATCCGAACTTCGGAGTGTCGAGAGCGACCACAGCCGAGACGCTCGCACCTTCCTCATCGGGTGCAGAGCATTCGCCTGAGTCCGAGACGAATGACGCAGCCAGGACGCTACCGCTTCAGGAACCGCCGACAGATACTGACCGAACGCCCACCACTGGCAGCAGCGTGACCACTCCAACCACTGGAAGCGACCAGAAATCCAACACGTCATCGTCCAAGCAAGTCCGTTTCGGTGAAGACGCCTACTCCACGCCAATCCTTGCTCGAAAGTTCAACTTCGATGGACCGTCAATGGACGAAGATGACGACGAGGAGAAGGAGCAAGAGCTGGAGAGTGTGTTGAGCTTCCTTGACGGGTCCAGCGTTACCAGCGTCGAACTGAACGACGCGTCCTTCCTTCGCGCTTTTGAGCGCTTCCGGCGGGAGCTGAACGTGTCCAGTAGACGCAACACTATTCAATCGCCACAGCCACCGCTGGCGAGGAAACTTTTTCCAGGGCCGAGTGATGCGGTGGCAGGAGATGTAGATACCTCAGTTGCATCTGCTGGTCACGACGATGGCCGCAACACCGAGCTAGAAAGGTTAGATACCAGCGAGCTACAAGAGCGACGGAGACAGCTGTGTCTAGACATCCAGGCGGAGAGCGCTCAACTGGTGCTAAACTTTGGGACTGGGGCAACAGATGCAGAGCAAACAAAGAATCGCTTACTGACATTGCGAGATGAACTCAAGGCAGTTGACGCGCAGTTGAATACCGGAGTACTAAACTAAGTAGTGCTTAAGTAATACAATGCTCAATGTTTCCGTTGGCACCAACAAAGAGCATCATCATTACGAACTCAACATTAAAATGTGGCTCACTCACTGTCACTTCACTCATTCGTTTTGTCGAGCCCGAACCGGCGACTTTGCTGCTCAAGAGCTGCGGAACCCTCATGGCACAGGAAGACCATACCACCGAGTCTGTTCCTTCAGAAGGCCGATTTTAGCACAACTGGATTTGCTTTCCATACTGCACGTCACGTACCAACTCATCGACCAGGACGACGGGAAAACTCACCAATACCATGAAGTTCAACCGCTTCCTCGTAGCCATGATGGCCGTCCTCGGTGCTGCCACCGCCGCCACCGCCGACCAACCTGTCGTCAAAACCCCAGCTGAAGCATTCGAGCTAGTTGCACTACCCGACGGCGTCACGTTCACAGGGGCGACGGAGAAGATCGATCCTCCTGCGAATGCCGCTGCAATGATCAAAAAGGAGGCCCATGACGACAAGAATGACAGCGACAATGACAAGGACGACGAGAAGGAGCAATACGGGTGGGGGCTCGGTGGAGGCCTAAGTGGTCTTGGCGGCTGGGAACTCGGTGGCTGGGGTGGCTGGGGCGGTTGGGATGGCTATGGAACCTACCGCTTCGGATTCATGTGCGGCGGTGTCCCTGGCTGGGCCTATCCGTTGGGATACTGAAACAGGTTTGGTGCGGGTCTGTACGGCGGCGGGTGCGGTCTTGGCATTCCTTCCGGTGGTCTCTACTACTGCTAGTTCTTTGAACTGTGGGCCTACGGAGCCTTCCTACTACCAAAATTTGCTTCGTCTACGACTTCGAATGAAGAGGTTATCTTTTTTCATGGGCTTTGAGCACCTATCGAGGTTAAATACGTACAAATTCATCCGTATTATCGTTGTTTTGAATGAAGAGACTGCCAACCATTAAGTGTAACCAGATTACATATATATAGAAATTTTGTAGTGATTGAAAATACATTGACCTTTACTTGCAGATAAGTACTGCTTCGAACATATTTTTTAGCAGTGTTATATTCCCAATGGGAGCTCTGTACAAATATCAACTTGCGATTTGAACTGCATGCGAGGAAGAATTGCAATACAGTACATTATTGCAGAGATCTAGAATATCGTCGAGATTGCGCTGCAGAGTCCTTCCAAGCAAAAGCTGATGGCATGAGAGACTCTCAGGGCCATTCTCAACCGGCACATGCGCTCCCATGCGCCCAAGTAAAGGGATATGATTGGCTAGCTTTTGACTAGGGCGCATGCGCCTGAGAGTATAAAAAGGCGCCATGCGACTTTAAAGTTGCATGCGTTTTAGGGGTCACTTGGGCAAGGTGGGGTAAGGTGTGAAGCACTAGCCAATCAACTTTCTTCCCATGGCTGTTTTGGGATCTTAAATCGTCACAAAGGAATTCCTCGGCTCCCTCGACGTCATGGTCTCACCTCTGGAAAGTGAAGCGTTTGTCGCTGTGCTGGTTCCAGTTTTGACTTGTGCTGTCGCTCAGTTAGCGGATGAAGGAAGTGAAATGCTTGTGGTTGGGGAGAGTTTGAATTGGAATGTGCACGCCGATCGATTGTTGCTGGAGGGAGAGTTTAATCAGTACTATTCTATGAGTCCAAGTGGTTTTGAGTGTTTGCTTGCCCTAGTTGGGGCTGAACTGGCTGTTGACCCTCTGCAGTCTGCAAGACGTGCTTGTGGAGAGCCGCAGGTATCGCCGTCGGAGATGCCTCAAAGTTGCGTCAGTTCGCTTGCGGGCGGTGTTATCACCATGTACGAGTCATTACAGGCACCAGTAGAGCTGGTTTTATAGAATTGTGCACTCCGTTTTACGAGCTATTAATCGCAGTGAACAGCTATCCATTTCATTTCCAGAATCTGAAGAGGACATGGAGCTAAATGCGGCTGGATTCCGCGGGCTGAGCACGGGGGGGGCGCGATTCCTGGCTGTATCGGTGCAATCGATGGGTGGCTTTGTCCTACACAAGTGCCTCGCAGGTCGGAATGTGGCCGCGTCATTTCATTCTAATCAGGACATTATCAACGGTACGGACTTAATGTCCAGGCATGTTGTGATCACAGAAGCCGTTTTACAGCCATGGCGTGTCGATCTCCCGGAGGGAGGAATGACTCTGTTGCTTTTTCTTAATGGTCACTAAGTGATACTCTTTCACAAATTCGTGGACCTTACTTTGTTGTGGCGGACAACGCTTACCCGCAGACTCGAGTGGTTCTCACGCCGTTTAATGAGGCCCAAACGCGGAATCGTCCCGATCGGGATAACGTCAACTTCTACCTAAGTCAGTGTCATATACGTATTGAGATGGACTTTGGCTTGCTAGTCAACAAGTGGAGGGTTTTCAAACGCCCACTGCGTGTCCGACTTGCCAATGTTGGGCACGTCATTCACGCATGCATGCGTTTACATAATTTTGTATTGACCGGTTTGCTGTAGAAAAATCCTTAGGCGCAAAAAAACCATTAAAGTAATGCGGCGTGAGCTACGGACTTGGAATGAATCTCGGGATCTCTCTTACTTGCATACTCAGTGCATGATCAGCGGCCGCAGACGGGTGGAGGTAATGGATGAAATGACACGAGTAGTTGTGATGGAGCACATTGAAGCGCACAATTTAAATCGTCCCGTCCGTAATATCGCTCGCCGGAACGCGAAAAGTAATTAAACTTAATACATTTTCTCGGTTGCAGACCGTAAATGCCCTCACTCTCACTTAGTCGTATCTCGTTGTGCTCGCTGCTACTCACTGCTCTGTAGTTGCTTAACTAGTTTCGTTCTCTCCTGCATCAACAACGCCAGGTCCTCCTCAAAGATTGCTCTTTCGATTGCAGCTTCACCATCAATGAGTGCAGACAGCTTTGCGTTAACCTCGGATATCTGTCGGCGAATGTCCGCAAGCATACTCAATATACGGGCCCGTTGTTCCAGCTGACTCGTTTCAGATTCTCGCTCAGATTCCTGGCGACGGTCTTTAACGTAGCAGCTGAATGAAGATGCCATCAACTCGAAAGCATCGTGACTTTTACGTTTGGAGGGCGTGGTATTATTTGATTTGATATCTCTGAGTAGCGTATTTGAGTCCATTGTATCCAGTTCATCCTTAGCATGCAAACCTCCTTTCGCAAAGTTGGTCACCGCGAGCTTGGTTGGTCGCTGAAGGGTTGGCTGCAGGAGTTCAGGTTTCAACCGTTAATCACAATAGAGATGTCAGTAGCTTCTCCCTGATGCAAAAGACTCAACAACGCACCATCAACCACCTGCGAAGGTATAGTACATCTCCTCGACCACCGACGAAGTTACGGAACTCATTTTCGCTCTGACCAGAGCAGGAAAACTTCGTTTGTGCCTCGAAGTAGTTGCCGTTTACTTCTTTCCACATGCTGTACAACTTCTTAGCCGAGTGAACCTTCTTAGCTAAAGCGGGATTGACGCCATCGAAGAAAGAATCATCGTTGAACGCCATTTCGTTGCGCTCGTCATCCTCAGGACAAAAGTCAACGAAGGCTGCACGAACGTCAAGCCAAAAATCGCTCTTTTCATTCAGTAGCTTTCCGTCTAGTTCCGTCCGTGTCGCTGAATCGCCTGAAAGACGTGAATGTGGTGTTAATATTGGTAATAGAATGCAAGCCTAGGTGGCATCCACAAACCTGTTCTGCTGAAGCGTTCAGCAAATTCGTCGCTGAAAAGGACATTCAGCAGTCGAAACATGCAGTGTTGCTACGGGTCTCATCATGCTCTACGAGTTGCGTGCTGTCTCCGGGCAGCCCCCCCATACTTTTTTTTCTTTGCGTCGTAGTACATCAGCGCTTTAACCCGATCTTCCTTCAGTGTGCCTTTCGGTAGACGAATTTTACGTCTCGTGCACTCTTTTCGCATTTCATCAGCCTTCCACTCGTTGTGGTCGATTGATGGTACGGTCGCGGGGGCTTGAGATGAAGTCGCAGCCTCAGTAGGTGCGGCTGCCATCATATCTGGGGTCAGCACCCCGATAATGCCTTCCTCAGAGCTATCCGAGTCCGCTTCAGGCTGACAAGCTTGTCGATGTATGCGAGATAAAGGAACAGCACTTCGCGGAAGCGCCGCGGATACTGCATTCGCGTGGGGTGCAGATGACTGAGCGACTTGCAGTTGGCGTTTAAATGTCTCGGTATATTGACTCCCCGCCGCAGCAAACGGCATGAACTCTCTTGGGAGAAACGGGGATGCGATAGTCGCTGGCGCATGCGCTTGCCAAAGCTGGGTGAGCTGGGTGGACTGAGCGGGGTCACTACCAGGCTGGGCGAGCTGGGTAAACTGAGCAGGGTCACTACCGGCGAAGCTGCCTTGTGAGCTCATGCTGCGAATGCTGCGTCTCTTCAACAAGTGTTTGTGCCAACTGTCAGAGCGCTGGGGGGGGGGGCACGGGCGTTCTCAACCGCCACGAGCACACGCGCATAAAAATGGGATGTGCTGCGCTGAGCTGAGCGTGGTTGAGAATGGCCCTCAGACTTTGAAAAGGGGTTCCCGGGCCCTTCAACAACACCATCCAAACCCCTTTCCGGGTGTATTACAGACAACGACGGTGAAATCCGCCATACCTTTGAAACACGCCCGAGTCCAAACATGGTTTTCCCACTAATGAAACCAGTTTCAGCCAATCCGTATGCCGTATTTGGGCGTTTTTGTACAATCGACCCAGGATGTGCTGATTCCTGCATCGGTTCTGTACATTTTGGAATCGTTTTTGTACTTTGTGTTCAGACTTTGAGCTGAAACTGCCACTTTCAACCAATCAAATAACTGGGCGGGTATTCTTGTCGCGCGTAATTTTTCAATTTTATATGAAGGATAGTGTTCAGACACCGGGCGGATTTCACCGTCGTTGTCTGTACGTGAACAACTTACTTTTGCGCGCTGTGGTGCACTCTCTTGGATTACGCGTTTTGTGCTCGACTATGCAGACTCTTCCGATGTGTGATAGTGTTGTACGTGTTCTGCGCATGGTGGTAATTATGTTTGATTATGCGCGTTGCCGATTGTCCAAAGGTTTCACAATCGTCGCGTGCATGTCCATTGTGTTTTTCTACCTGTACATAAATCTTAACTAAGCCCTTGGTCCAAGGAGTGTTGAGTTCCCTGCGATAATCCACAATAAATTACAGGTGCAGGTATTGATACATGTTTTATTATAATACATGTGCACCATTTCTAAATCAAATCGAGTATTTCCCAGATCAGCAACAGTACAGCCGATCTTAGCCGGCACGAAAAAGTTAGCTTTATTAGAAAAGGAGATAATACTTTGCACCTATAATGCGTTTTGATGTATTCACCACGTGATATGCTACTTTTTCGCCCAGCTAGCTTTTTTAAATTAAGCTAGCCGGGCTCCTATTCATAGTTAAAATACGGGACATATCACGCGCCCTGACGAGATGATAGTGCAGGGAAATCGTGATTACGGAAGTACTAACAAGCCATTCCTTTATGGGGCGGTGAAAGCTTCATTGCATATCTCCACCCAGATTGTTTATTTGGCGTTTCTTACAGCGGCTTCTGATATGATGTAAAAAAATAGCTAATAAAAAACATTCTTTTAATGCTTATTTGTTTTGTTTATTCACCGATCCGAGTTCTGTTTAAGCTACTGTACGCTTCGTATTTCATCACGTAAGCACTTTGAATGTTGTTAGTACAGCTGATTTGCTGCATGATGCCGCGGGAGATGGGGCCACACGTCCAGTCTTGCGGCAAGCGGAACCAAGTTGCGGATCCATTAATGCTGCACGTCATTTCTCATTTATCGCTCTAGAGCTTACGAGAAACAAGCCCAAGCCTAGCTGCAGATTCCGTCACTCATGCATCTCCGTTTCGTGCTACTGACGATTGTCGCCACTCTTGTAGCGACATGTTGTAGCGAAGCTCGCTCGCTCCGGCAAGGGGCCTCCACGAAAACGACCGGTTTGGCCTCCGAACATGATCCAGAGTCGGAGGAGAGGGTGTTTAGAGTCCGCGACGTTGCATCTGGAGCTATCACAAAAGCTGAAAGCGCACCTCTCAAGACGTCGAAGTGGGATAAAGTCCTCAGCAAGTTGGCCAAGAAAATGCTTCCGGGTGCGAACGAGTACAAATTGGTGTACAATAACGGTCGGTGGAAGCCGGAGTATTACTTCTGAGTTTCGCCAGTCCTTAGAATGGCGGTGCTCATACATGTACATGCACTAAAAAGCACATACAAATCAAATTGAGAGCCACTTGTCATCACTCTTAATGCTTGCACCAGAATTCGTTACTACAGTATTTGTCAACAACTACTATAATAATCGACAACAATGCTATTGTTACGTTTTAGAATAAGTTCTGAGCACTTTCCTAATATTTTTTTTTTTAATTACCGTGAGGCAAAAACTACTACCCTTCAAAAGGCTGCGACTACCATAGCTATAAGCAATGTTGCTCACTCACTCAATCATTCGTCTCGACGAGCCCAAATCGGCGACTTTGCTGCTTAAGAACTACGGAGACTTTATGACACAGGAAGGCCATACCACCGCCTTCACAGGTCGATTTGACCACAACTGGATTTGCTTTCAATACTGCACGTCACGTACCAACTCATCGGCCAGGTCAACGGGAAAACCCACCAATACCATGAACTTCAACAGCTTCTTCGTCGCTATGATGCCCGTCCTCGGTGCTGCCACCGCCGCCACCAGCGACCAACCTGTCGTCAAAACCCCAGCCGAAGCATTCGAACTAGTTGAAGCGTCCACACTACCCGACGGCGTCACGTTCACAGGGGTGACGGAGAAGATCGATCCTCCTGCGAATGCCGCTGCAATGATCAAAAAGGAGGCCCATGACGACAAGGATGACGAGAAGGAGCAATACGGATGGGGGCTCGGTGGAGGCATAGTTTTTAGTTTTGGTGAGGTTACATTGATGTCACTTAGTTAGACTAACGACTTCCTATGCCCGTCTAAGTGGAGGCATAGGTGGTCTTGGCAGCTGGGAACTCGGTGGCTGGGGTGGCTGGGGCGGTTGGGGTGGCTATGGACCCCACCGCTTCGAATTCATGTGCGGCGGTGTCCCTGGCTGGGCCTATCCGTTGGGATACTGAAACAGGTTTGGTGCGGGTCTGTACAGCGGCGGGTGCGGTCTTGGCATTCCTTTCGGTGGTCTCTACTACTGTTAGTTCTTTGAGCTATGGGCCTACGGAGTTAACACCTTAACAAAATAGTAGTGTGCTGGCGTTCCTACTACCAAAATTTGCTTCGTCTACGACTTCGAATGAACAGGTTATCTTTTTTCATGGGCTTTGAGCACCTTTCGAGGTTACACGTACAAATTCATCAGTATTATCGTTGTTAACGACGAAGGGCTCAACGTTAAGGCAAATTAAGTTTTGAATGAAGAGACTGCCAACCATTAAGTGTAACCAGATTACATATATATAGAAATTTTGTAGTGATTGAAAAAACATTTAGATAAGTACTGCTTCAAACATATTTTTTAGCAGTGTTATATTCCCAATAGGAGCTCTGTACAAATATCAACTTGCGATTTGAACTGCATGCGAGGGATAATAGAATACAGTACATTATTGCAGCGATCTAGAATATCGTCGAGGTTGCGCTGCAGAGTCCTTCCAAGCAAAAGCTGATGGCATGAGAGGGGGGAGGGGGGCGCCAACTCTTAGACTTTGAAAAAGGGTTCCCGGGCCCCTCAACAACCCCATCCAAACCCCTTTCCGGGTGTATTACGTGAACAACTTACTTTTGCGCGCTGTGGTACACTCTCTTGGATTACGCGTTTTGTCGACTATGCAGACTCTTCCGATGTGTGATAGTGTTGTACGTGTTCTGCGCATGGTGGTAATTATTTTTGATTATGCGCGTTGCCGATTGTCCAAAGGTTTCACAATCGTCGCGTGCATGTCCATTGTGTTTTTCTACCTGTACATAAATCTTAACTAAGCCCTTGGTCCAAGGAGTGTTGAGTTCCCTGCGATAATCCACAATAAATTACAGGTGCAGGTATTGATACATGTTTTATTATAATACATGTGCACCATTTCTAAATCAAATCGAGTATTTCCCAGATCAGCAACAGTACAGCCGATCTTAGCCGGCACGAAAAAGTTAGCTTTATTAGAGAAGGAGATAATACTTTGCACCTATAATGCGTTTTGATGTATTCACCACGTGATATGCTACTTTTTCGCCCAGCTAGCTTTTTTAAATTAAGCTAGCCGGGCTCCTATTCATTGTTAGAATACGGGACATATCACGCGCCCTGACAAGATGATAGTGCAGGGAAATCGTGATCACGGAAGTACTAACAAGCCATTCCTTTATGGGGCGGTGAAAGCTTCATTGCATATCTCCACCCAGATTGTTTATTTGGCGTTTCTTACAGCGGCTTCTGATATGATGTAAAACAATAGCTAATAAAAAACATTCTTTTAATGCTTATTTGTTTTGTTTATTCACCGATCCGAGTTCTGTTTAAGCTACTGTACGCTTCGTATTTCATCACGTAAGCACTTTGAATGTTGTTAGTACAGCTGATTTGCTGCATGATGCCGCGGGAGATGGGGCCACACGTCCAGTCTTGCGGCAAGCGGAACCAAGTTGCGGATCCATTAATGCTGAACGTCATTTCTCATTTATCGCTCTAGAGCTTACGAGAAACAAGCCCAAGCCTAGCTGCAGATTCCGTCACTCATGCATCTCCGTTTCGTGCTACTGACGATTGTCGCCACTCTTGTAGCGACATGTTGTAGCGAGGCTCGCTCGCTCCGGCAAGGGGCCTCCACGAAAACGACCGGTTTGGCCTCCGAACATGATCCAGAGTCGGAGGAGAGGGTGTTTAGAGTCCGCGACGTTGCATCTGGAGCTATCACAAAAGCTGAAAGCGCACCTCTCAAGACGTCGAAGTGGGATAAAGGCCTTTAGCAAGTTGGCCAAGAAAATGCTTCCGGGTGCGAACGAGTACAAATTGGTGTACAATAACGGTCGGTGGAAGCCGGAGTATTACTTCTGAGTTTCGCCAGTCCTTAGAATGGCGGTGCTCATACCTGTACATGCACTAAAAAGCACATACAAATCAAATTAAGAGCCACTTGTCATCACTCTTAATGCTTGCACCAGAATTCGTTACTACAGTATTTGTCAACAACTACTATAATAATCGACAACAACGCTATTGTTAAGTTTTAGAATAAGTTCTGAGCACTTTCCTAATATTTGTTTTTTTTAATTACCGTGAGGCGGAAACTACTACCCTTCAGGCGTCAAACAAAATGTTGCGACTATCATAGCTATAAGCAATGTTGCTCGATCACTGTCCCTTTAATCGTTCGTCTCGACGAGCCCAAATCGGCGACGTTGCTGCTTAAGAACTACGGAGACTTTATGACACAGGAAGGCCATACCACCGCCTTCACAGGTCGATTTGACCACAACTGGATTTGCTTTCAATACTGCACGTCACGTACCAACTCATCGGCCAGGTCAACGGGAAAACCCACCAATACCATGAACTTCAACAGCTTCTTCGTCGCTATGATGCCCGTCCTCGGTGCTGCCACCGCCGCCACCGCCGACCAACCTGTCGTCAAAACCCCAGCCGAAGCATTCGAACTAGTTGAAGCGTCCACACTACCCGACGGCGTCACGTTCACAGGGGTGACGGAGAAGATCGATCCTCCTGCGAATGCCGCTGCAATGATCAAAAAGGAGGCCCATGACGACAAGGATGACGAGAAGGAGCAATACGGATGGGGGCTCGGTGGAGGCATAGTTTTTAGTTTTGGTGAGGTTACATTGATGTCACTTAGTTAGACTAACGACTTCCTATGTCCGTCTAAGTGGAGGCATAGGTGGTCTTGGCAGCTGGGAACTCGGTGGCTGGGGTGGCTGGGGCGGTTGGGGTGGCTATGGACCCCACCGCTTCGGATTCATGTGCGGCGGTGTCCCTGGCTGGGCCTATCCGTTGGGATACTGAAAACAGGTTTGGTGCGGGTCTGTACAGCGGCGGGTGCGGTCTTGGCATTCCTTTCGCTGGTCTCTACTACTGTTAGTTCTTTGAGCTGTGGGCCTACGGAGTTAACACCTTAACAAAATAGTAGTGTGCTGGCCTTCCTACTACCAAAATTTGCTTCGTCTACGACTTCGAATGAACAGGTTATCTTTTTTCATGGGCTTTGAGCACCTTTCGAGGTTACACGTACAAATTCATCAGTATTATCGTTGTTAACGACGAAGGGCTCAACGTTAAGGCAAATTAAGTTTTGAATGAAGAGACTGCCAACCATTAAGTGTAACCAGATTACATATATATAGAAATTTTGTAGTGATTGAAAACATTTAGATAAGTACTGCTTCAAACATATTTTTTAGCAGTGTTATATTCCCAATAGGAGCTCTGTACAAATATCAACTTGCGATTTGAACTGCATGCGAGGGATAATTGCAATACAGTACAATATTGCAGCGATCTAGAATATCGTCGAGGTTGCGCTGCAGAGTCCTTCCAAGCAAAAGCTGATGGCATGAGAGGGGGGAGGGGGGCGCCAACTCTTAGACTTTGAAAAAGGGTTCCCGGGCCCTTCAACAACCCCATCCAAACCCCTTTCCGGGTGTATTACGTGAACAACTTACTTTTGCGCGCTGTGGTACACTCTCTTGGATTACGCGTTTTGTGCTCGACTATGCAGACTCTTCCGATGTGCGATAGTGTTGTACGTGTTCTGCGCATGGTGGTAATTATTTTTGATTATGCGCGTTGCCGATTGTCCAAAGGTTTCACAATCGTCGCGTGCATGTCCATTGTGTTTTTCTACCTGTACATAAATCTTAACTAAGCCCTTGGTCCAAGGAGTGTTGAGTTCCCTGCGATAATCCACAATAAATTACAGGTGCAGGTATTGATACATGTTTTATTATAATACATGTGCACCATTTCTAAATCAAATCGAGTATTTCCCAGATCAGCAACAGTACAGCCGATCTTAGCCGGCACGAAAAAGTTAGCTTTATTAGAGAAGGAGATAATACTTTGCACCTATAATGCGTTTTGATGTATTCACCACGTGATATGCTACTTTTTCGCCCAGCTAGCTTTTTTAAATTAAGCTAGCCGGGCTCCTATTCATTGTTAGAATACGGGACATATCACGCGCCCTGACAATATGATAGTGCAGGGAAATCGTGATTACGGAAGTACTAACAAGCCATTCCTTTATGGGGCGGTGAAAGCTTCATTGCATATCTCCACCCAGATTGTTTATTTGGCGTTTCTTACAGCGGCTTCTGATATGATGTAAAAAAATAGCTAATAAAAAACATTCTTTTAATGCTTATTTGTTTTGTTTATTCACCGATCCGAGTTCTGTTTAAGCTACTGTACGCTTCGTATTTCATCACGTAAGCACTTTGAATTTTATTAGTACAGCTGATTTGCTGCATGATGCCGCGGGAGATGGGGCCACACGTCCAGTCTTGCGGCAAGCGGAACCAAGTTGCGGATCCATTAATGCTGCACGTCATTTCTCATTTATCGCTCTAGAGCTTACGAGAAACAAGCCCAAGCCTAGCTGCAGATTCCGTCACTCATGCATCTCCGTTTCGTGCTACTGACGATTGTCGCCACTCTTGTAGCGACATGTTGTAGCGAGGCTCGCTCGCTCCGGCAAGGGGCCTCCACGAAAACGACCGGTTTGGCCTCCGAACATGATCCAGAGTCGGAGGAGAGGGTGTTTAGAGTCCGCGACGTTGCATCTGGAGCTATCACAAAAGCTGAAAGCGCACCTCTCAAGACGTCGAAGTAGGATAAAGTCCTCAGCAAGTTGGCCAAGAAAATGCTTCCGGGTGCGAACGAGTACAAATTGGTGTACAATAACGGTCGGTGGAAGCCGGAGTATTACTTCTGAGTTTCGCCAGTCCTTAGAATGGCGGTGCTCATACCTGTACATGCACTAAAAAGCACATACAAATCAAATTAAGAGCCACTTGTCATCACTCTTAATGCTTGCACCAGAATTCGTTACTACAGTATTTGTCAACAACTACTATAATAATCGACAACAACGCTATTGTTAAGTTTTAGAATAAGTTCTGAGCACTTTCCTAATATTTGTTTTTTTTAATTACCGTGAGGCGGAAACTACTACCCTTCAGGCGTCAAACAAAATGTTGCGACTATCATAGCTATAAGCAATGTTGCTCGATCACTGTCCCTTTAATCGTTCGTCTCGACGAGCCCAAATCGGCGACGTTGCTGCTTAAGAACTACGGAGACCTCATGACACAGGAAGGCCATACCACCGCCTTCACAGGTCGATTTGACCACAACTGGATTTGCTTTCAATACTGCACGTCACGTACCAACTCATCGGCCAGGTCAACGGGAAAACCCACCAATACCATGAACTTCAACAGCTTCTTCGTCGCTATGATGCCCGTCCTCGGTGCTGCCACCGCCGCCACCGTCGACCAACCTGTCGTCAAAACCCCAGCCGAAGCATTCGAACTAGTTGAAGCGTCCACACTACCCGACGGCGTCACGTTCACAGGGGTGACGGAGAAGATCGATCCTCCTGCGAATGCCGCTGCAATGATCAAAAAGGAGGCCCATGACGACAAGGATGACGAGAAGGAGCAATACGGATGGGGGCTCGGTGGAGGCATAGTTTTTAGTTTTGGTGAGGTTACATTGATGTCACTTAGTTAGACTAACGACTTCCTATGCCCGTCTAAGTGGAGGCATAGGTGGTCTTGGCAGCTGGGAACTCGGTGGCTGGGGTGGCTGGGGCGGTTGGGGTGGCTATGGACCCCACCGCTTCGGATTCATGTGCGGCGGTGTCCCTGGCTGGGCCTATCCGTTGGGATACTGAAACAGGTTTGGTGCGGGTCTGTACAGCGGCGGGTGCGGTCTTGGCATTCCTTTCGGTGGTCTCTACTACTGTTAGTTCTTTGAGCTGTGGGCCTACGGAGTTAACACCTTAACAAAATAGTAGTGTGCTGGCGTTCCTACTACCAAAATTTGCTTCGTCTACGACTTCGAATGAACAGGTTATCTTTTTTCATGGGCTTTAAGCACCTTTCGAGGTTACACGTACAAATTCATCAGTATTATCGTTGTTAACGACGAAGGGCTCAACGTTAAGGCAAATTAAGTTTTGAATGAAGAGACTGCCAACCATTAAGTGTAACCAGATTACATATATATAGAAATTTTGTAGTGATTGAAAAAACATTTAGATAAGTACTGCTTCAAACATATTTTTTAGCAGTGTTATATTCCCAATAGGAGCTCTGTACAAATATCAACTTGCGATTTGAACTGCATGCGAGGGATAATTGCAATACAGTACAATATTGCAGCGATCTAGAATATCGTCGAGGTTGCGCTGCAGAGTCCTTCCAAGCAAAAGCTGATGGCATGAGAGGGGGGAGGGGGGCGCCAACTCTTAGACTTTGAAAAAGGGTTCCCGGGCCCTTCAACAACCCCATCCAAACCCCTTTCCGGGTGTATTACGTGAACAACTTACTTTTGCGCGCTGTGGTACACTCTCTTGGATTACGCGTTTTGTCGACTATGCAGACTCTTCCGATGTGTGATAGTGTTGTACGTGTTCTGCGCATGGTGGTAATTATTTTTTTATTATGCGCGTTGCCGATTGTCCAAAGGTTTCACAATCGTCGCGTGCATGTCCATTGTGTTTTTCTACCTGTACATAAATCTTAACTAAGCCCTTGGTCCAAGGAGTGTTGAGTTCCCTGCGATAATCCACAATAAATTACAGGTGCAGGTATTGATACATGTTTTATTATAATACATGTGCACCATTTCTAAATCAAATCGAGTATTTCCCAGATCAGCAACAGTACAGCCGATCTTAGCCGGCACGAAAAAAGTTAGCTTTATTAGAGAAGGAGATAATACTTTGCAC